GAACCAATGCATGTATACCAAACATGCACTTTTCAAGAAGTGAAACCTCTTGTTGTTGTTGTTAATTGCGAAGTCGTGTCCGACCCATCGTGACCCCATGGACAATGTTCCTCCAGGTCTTCCTGTCCTCTACCATCTTCTGGAGTCCATTTAAGTTCACACCTACTGCTTCAGTGACTCCATCCAGCCATCTCATTCTCTGTCGTCCCCTTCTTCTATTGCCCTCAATCTTTCCCAGCATTAGGCCCTTCTCCAGTGAGTCCTTCCTTCTCATTAGGTGGCCAAAGTATTTGAGTTTCAACTTCAGGATCTGGCCTTCTAAAGAGCAGTCGGGGTTGATCTCTTCTAGGACTGACCGGTTTGAACGCCTTGCAGTCCAAGGGACTCGCAGGAGTCTTCTCCAGCACCATAGTTCAAAGGCCTCAATTCTTTGCGCTCAGCCTTTCTTATGGTCCAACTTTCACAGCCATACATTGCAACTGGGAAAACCATGGCCTGGACTATACGCACTTTTGTTGGCAGGGTGATGTCTCTGCTTTTTAGTATGCTGTCTAGATTTGCCATAGCTTTCCTCCCCAGGAGCAAGCGTCTTTTAATTTCTTGGCTGCAGTCCCCATCTGAGGTGATCTTGGAGCCCAGAAAAATAAAATCTGTCACTACCTTCCATTTCTTCCCCATCTATTTGCCAGGAATTGAGAGGGCCGGATGCCATGATTTTGGTTTTCTTAATGTTGAGTTTCAAGCCAACTTTTGCACTCTCCTTCTTCACCCGCATCAAGAGGCTCTTTAGTTCCTCTTCACTTTCTGCCATTAGAGTGGTATCATCTGCATATCTTAGGTTGTTGATATTTCTCCCGGCAATCTTAATTCCAACTTTTGATTCATCTAGCCCTGCCTTTCTCATGATGTGCTCTGCATATAAGTTAAATAGGCAGGGCGACAGTATACAGCCTTGCCGGACTCCTTTTCCAATTTTGAACCAATCAGTGGTTCCGTGTCCAGTTCTCACTGTTGCTTCTTGACCCGCATATAGGTTTCTCAAGAGACAAATAAGATGGTCTGGTATTCCCATCTCTTTAAGAACTTGCCACAATTTGTTGTGATCCACACAATCAAAGGCTTTAGCATAGTCAATGAAGCAGAAGTAGATGTTTTTCTGGAACTCCCTAGCTTTCTCCATGATCCAGCGTATGTTGGCAATTTGATCTCTAGTTCCTCTGCCTCTTCGAAATCCTGCCTGTACTTCTGGTAGTTCTCGATCCACATACTGCTGGAGTCTAGCTTGTAGGATTTTAAGCATAACTTTACTAGCATGTGAAATGAGTGCAATGGTGCGATAGTTTGAACATTCTTTGCATTGCCTTTCTTTGGAATTGGAATGTAAACTGACCTTTTCCAATCCTGTGGCCACTGTTGAGTTTTCCAAATTTGCTGGCAAATTGAGTGTAGCACTTTTACTGCATCGTCTTTTAAGATTTTGAATAGCTCAGCTGGAATGCTGTCACCTCCATTAGCTTTGTTGTTGCTCAGATTTTCTAAGGCCGATTTCACTTCACATTCTAGGATGTCTGGTTCGAGGTCAGTGACCATCTCATTGTGGTTATCTGGGATGTTAAGCTCATTCTTGTATAGTTCTTCTGTGTAGTTTTGCCATCTCTTCTTAATCTCTTCTGCCTCTGTTAGGTCTCTGCCATTTTGGTCCTTTATCATGCCCATCTTTGCATGAAACGTTCCCTTCATATCTCCAATTTTCTTGAAGAGATCTCTGGTCCTCCCTATTCTGTTGTTTTCTTCTATTTCTTTGCACTGTTCATTTAAGAAGGCATTCTTATCTCTTCTAGCTACTCTCTGGAATTCTGCATTCAATTGGGTGTATCTTTCTCTTTCTCCCTTGCCTTTCGCTTCCTTTCTTTCCTCAGCTATTTGAAAAGCTTCCGCAGACAGCCATTTTGCTTTCTTGCATTTCTTTTTCTTTGGAATGGTTTTAGTTGCTACCTCTTGTACAATGTTGCGAACTTCCATCCATAGTTCTTCAGGCACTCTGTCTATCAGATCTAATTCCTTAAATCTATTTGTCACTTCTACTGTATATTCATTAGGAATATGATTTAGTTCGTACCTGAGTGGCCTAGTGCTTTTCCCTACTTTTTTTAATTTAAGCCTAAATTTTGCAACGAGAAGCTCATGATCTGAGCCACAGTCAGCTCCTGGTCTTGTTTTTACTGACTGTATAGAGCTTCTCCATCTTTGGCTGCAGAGCACATAGTCAATCTGATTTCTATGTTGGCCGTCTGGTGATGTCCATGTGTAGAGCCGTCTCTTGGGTTGTTGGAAAAGAGTGTTTGTTATGACCATCGTATTCTCTTGACAAAATTCTATCAGCCTGTGCCCTGCTTCATTTTGTACTCCAAGGCCAAACTTGCCTGTTATTCCGGTTATCTTTTGGCTTCCTACCTTAGCATTCCAATCCCCCATGATGATAAGGACATCATTTTTTGGTGTTAATTCTATAAGGTGCTGTAGGGCTTCATAAAACTGGTCAATTTCATCCTCTTCAGCACCAGTGGTTGGGGCATAGATTTGGACTATTGTGATATTGAATGGTTTGCCTTGGATTCGAATTGAGATCATTCTGTCATTTTGGGGATTGTATCCCAGTATTGCTTTTCCTATTCTTTTATTGACTATGAAGGCTACTCCATTTCTTCTGAGGGATTCTTGCCCACAGTAGTATACCTGATGGTCATCTGAGTTAAATTCACCCATTCCTGTCCATTTTAGTTCGCTGATTCCTAAGATGTCGATGTTCAGTCTTGTCATCTCTTTTTTGACTATGTCTAGCTTGCCTTGATTCATGGATCTTACATTCCAGGTTCCTATGGAGAAAAAATCTTTATAGCATCGGACTTTCCTTTCACCACCAGATATATCCACAGCTGAGCGTCCTTTCGGCTTTGGCCCAGTTCGCTTCATTCTTTCTGGCGCTACTAGTACTAGCCCTCTGCTCTTCCCCAGTAGCATATTGGACACCTTCTGACCTGAGGGGCTCATCTTCCAGCATCATATCTTTTTTCCTTTTAGTACTGTCCATGGGGTTTTCATGGCAAAGATACTGGAGTGGTTTGCCATTTCCTTCTCCAGTGGATCACATTTTGTCAGAACTCTCTGCTATAACCTGTCCGTCTTGGGTGGCCCTGTACGGCATAGCTTATAGTTTCATTGAGTTACACAAGCCCCTTCGCCACGACAAGGCAGTAATCCATAAAGGGGTGAAACCTCTTACCTAAGTTCAAATGAAAGACAGTTCAGGCTGCATGGAGAAACGAGGAAAAGAATGTATTTCTTACGTGGAAAAAGTGAAGTTTGGTTTTGTTTCAAATCTTCACAGTAATCTTGACTCAGCAGCAGCAGAACAAAGAGCAGAGAAGCATTGGAGTACTTAAATAGCCCCTGACAAGACCTCGAAGAACTTGATGGTATATAATGCAATTGAGGTGGGCAGTAAGTTCAATATATTTTAATAACAATGCTTGTTGCTAATAATAATAATAGTTAATAGATGATATTAAGTTTGGCTGTGCAATGTAACTAAAATCATATAACCTGTGTGTGTCATAATGATAGAGATGTGTTAATGCTATGTAGAAACCATTTTACAAGAAGTGTCAGTGTCAACTAAAAGTCACAGATGTTGTAAGATAACACCCGGGAAGAGAGGTGTGGTAAGGCAACCGTTTGGGCAAACTTCTCCTTTTTACTCGTGTAGCTGCAAGATATAAACTTCTCTGTTTAAGTGTGTTAAAGGTAGATAAGGACCACCCTGTGGCTAAGGCGTGGGTGGTGAATACTATAAGAATTAACCCCTGAGAATAGCTCAGGGCTCAGAATTTGTCATGCTAATACTCTGAGCCATCGTGCACGAATAAAAACCTGTTTTCTCCAACCCTTCGTGGTCTTGTCTTCTGATGTAAGTATTGGGGTTTCCACTACAATTATCTGGCGACCGCGGCAGGATGGCAAGGAGCCTTGGGGCTCTCTGGAGGACCCACCCCGACATCAGGAGCCTGCAGTGAGGAGGGAACATCCCAGGCGCCATCGGACCTTTTCTTCCGAGGGACTTCCCTGTGTCACGGGGCTCTGACATCGGCGGTTGGCCACTCCAAGAACCACTGGTGAAGGGTGAGGAGACCAGGCATCTTTCCAGCCGGCTTCAGGACAGAGGATTCGCCTGCAGGCAAGTATTGAGGGAAATAAGGAATCCCTCCCTGTAAGCAGGGACGGAGGAGAGGACTGATCACCCCCTCTTTAGGATAAGGTGGGAGGAATTGTCTTGAGTGTTTGTTGTGAGTGAATGGCGTTCGAATTTCCCATCGGTGACCGTTGAGTTTCCGGCGCCCTGGGTCTAGCGCGTATAAGTGAAACCCTCAGTGTTATCCCGAGTGGAAGGACCCCTTACCTTCCTCTCATCCCTTTTCGTCATTTGTCTTGTCTGGTGCCCTGGGAGGCTCATGGGAGGTGGTGCAAGTGTACCCCTTACTCCTTTGGGGTGTATGCTACAGCATTTTAAGTCTGCTTATGAGACACAGGATTATGGCATTAAGTGGAGCAGGCATAAGTTGAGGAATTTCTGTGAGATAGATTGGCCCAGCTTTAACGTAGGCTGGCCAAATACAGGGACACTAGATCCATACATTGCACAACAGGTACACCAGCTAGTGTTCAATCCTACATTAGGGCACCCAGACCAGGCACCCTATATAGATGTGTGGCTTGGCTTGTTGCAAAGACCTCCCCCCCGGATTCAAAAGTGTAACAAAGAGCAGTGTAAGCTTCTGGTATCACGCACCCTGCCAGTTCCAAAGCCTAGAAAGCCCATTCCAGTTCTACCAAGTTGTCCAGAAGAACTGCCACATCCACCACCGTACATCCCTCCACATGGGTTGAGAGGAACCCCAGGGACATCATCATCAGCAGTGGGATCCATGTGGCGTCTAGACATGTTATCCCCAATGCTAAAAGGCTTCCAACTTGGGGAAAGGAAAGGTCAGGGACGATCACCAGCCCAAGCAGAAGTCCAGGATCAAGGAGCCCAGGAAGGACCCTCGCTCCAAGCAACAGAGGGGAGCTCGGGGACAGAGGAGAAGGAAGAGCCAAGTGAGGACAGGGAGGAAGAGGAGCCAGTAGCTGAAAGGACCAGGGCAAGGACAGAGCTAGTCTCTTTGAACGCTCCCCTCAGACAAGTGGATCAGTTGGTTGTTAATAAAGATGATCCTACAGATACAGCAACTGCCCCTCTATTTCAACATGTGCCCTTCACAACTTCGGACCTTCTTAACTGGAAATTTCACTATGGGCCGTTTAGTGAAAAGCCCACCGAAGTTGCAGACTTAATTAAAACTATTGTAGACACCCACAACCCCAATTGGATGGATATGCAACAGCTTATGGGAACATTGTTCAATCCGGAGGAAAGGGAAAAGATTAGAATAGCAGTGGCAAAAATTGTGAAGCCTGATTTGCCTACACTCTACACTATCGAAGACTATGTCGAAGAGAAGTTCCCTTCTAAAGACCCTAAATGGAATCCATATCGTGACCTCAAAGAGTTACAGGCTTATCAGCAATTAGCAGTGCAAGCAGTCCGTGCAGCAGGGAAGCCAGCTGTTAATATGTCTAAACCCTCTTTGGTGGTGCAGGAAGCCACAGAAAGTCCAGAAGCATTTTATGCTCGACTGCTTGAAGCCTATCAAATGTACACCCCTATTGACCCAACAGAACCTGACAATGCTAGAATGCTTGCCATGGCTTTTATCTCACAAAGCGCCCCTGATATCCGAAGAAAGCTGCAAAGATTGGAAGGAGCCTTAGGAAAGCCCATGAGTGAGCTGATGGAAGTAGCCAGGAAGACTTTTGTGAATAGGGAAAAAGAGGAGGAGAAGAAGAAGGATCAGAAAATGCAAAGGAAGGCTGAGCTGCTTGCAGTAGCTATGATGGGGGTGCCAAGGGGAGGTGGAAGAGGCAGAGGAAGGGGAATGGTGTTGGGACGGAACCAGTGTGCCATATGTAAGAAGGAAGGACACTGGAAGGGTGAATGTCCAGAAAGAGAGAGAGAGGAGGAACGAGAAGAGGGAAGAGGAAGATTTGCAAGTTTTGCCAGAGGCTTCAGAGGTAATTCAAGAAGGGGCCAGAGAGGGAGAGGAAGAGGAGAACAATCTTCAAGGACCCCCCTCATAGGCCTGGCCGAAACTGAAGAATGGGACTGAGGCCGACCAGGTTCAGCCCGCCTCCCAGAACCTGTGGTCAGTTTAACCGTAGGAGGCAAATCCATTCCCTTCCTCGTGGATACTGGAGCCACCCGATCGGTCCTAACCCAACCCTTAGGCCAAGCCTCCCCCCATCATTTCAATATACAAGGAGCAACAGGAAAGATATTACAACGACCCTTTTTGGAGCCACTAAGCTGCACAATAGGGGGAAGAACAATCACCCACCAATTCGTCTACATGCCCGATTGTCCAATTCCGTTGCTAGGACGGGACCTGCTGTGTAAATTAAGGGCGCAGGTCTCCTTTGAGGAAGATGGCACAATGACCATTAATTATGGAAAAGTAACCATGGAAGTTCCCTGTGAAGAAGGATGGAGAATGGTGATGCTGGCACAAGCTGTAGAAGAAAATACCAAATGGAAAGAGTTCAATGTGCCGCACCTATGGGCAGAAGACAACCCCCCTGGCTTTGCAAAACATCATCCTCCAATTATAATAGAAGAAATACCAACAAAAGTACCTATTAGAATTAGACAACGTTCATATCCCAGAGTGGTAGCACAAGCTATCCAGGAGGTAATAAACCTCTATCTAGCTCATCGCATTCTAGTCCCTATAGAATCAAAATGGAACACCCCAATTCTGCCAATACCCAAGGCGGAAGGGAACTACCGGCCCGTTCAGGACCTCAGGGTTGTGAACCACGCTACAGTCACTATCCACCCCGTTGTCCCAAATCCCTATGTCATTTTAGGACTGATTCCCCCTACGGCTAAGTGGTTCTCAGTAATTGACCTGAAGGATGCCTTCTTCACAATACCTATACATAAGAAGAGTCAGCATTTATTTGCCTTTGAATGGGAGAATCCCGTATCTGGAAGGAAACACCAATATGCTTGGACAAGACTCCCTCAAGGCTTTAAGAATTCCCCCACTCTCTTTGGAGCTGCATTAGGAAAAGATTTAGAGGACTTAGACATCCCCCACCCAGACGTAGTGTTGCAATATGTTGATGACCTATTAGTCACTGGTCAGACAGAAGAGGACTGCTGGCAGAACACCTGTGCATTGCTTCAGCTTTTACAGGACAGAGGCTACAAAGCATCACGGAAAAAGGCACAATTGGTAGCTACAAGAGTTAGATATCTGGGATATGACATAGAGGAAGGAAAGAGAACATTGGGACATGAAAGGAAAGGAGCCATCTGTCAGCTGCCCATCCCGAAAAATAGAAAAGAGTTAAGAGGTTTTCTAGGGGCTGCTGGCTTTTGCAGAATATGGATCCCCAACTTCAGCCTGATAGCAAAACCCCTGTATGAAGCAACCAAGGGAAGTGATAAAGAACCGTTGCAATGGGAGAAGCAAGAGGATAAGAGTTTTACAGCCCTCAAAGAAGCTTTAATGTGTGCTCCCAGTCTAGGGTTACCGAATTTGGAGAAACCCTTTCAATTGTTTGTAGATACTAAACAGAATGTGGCTGTAGGAGTTCTCACTCAGAAGATGGGGCCCTGGCATCGCCCGGTTGCTTATCTGTCTAAACAGCTTGATAATGTGGCTAGAGGGTGGCCGGCTTGCCTCAAAGCAATTGCAGGAGCTGCATTACTCACACAGGAAGCCAACAAATTGACTTTTGGGCAAAGGCTAGATATCTACACACCCCATGCCCTTAAAGCTGTTTTAGAAGCAAAGGGACACTTGTGGCTGACCAACCCACGCATACTGAAGTATCAAGCCTTAATAACCCATAACCCAGCAGTCACATTAATTCAATCCAACTCACTGAATCCAGCTACGCTGCTGCCTGAACCAGACTTGGAAACCACACACAGTTGCATACAAGCTATTGAAGAAACTTATGCTAGTCGCCCAGACATGAGAGATGTTCCCCTGCTGAATCCAGACTTTACCTTATACACTGATGGAACTAGTTTCATGCAGGAAGGGATTCGAAAGGCAGGATATGCTGTGGTTACCTTAGAAGAAATATGGGAAGCCGAACCGCTTCCGCCCGGTACAAGTGCCCAACTAGCTGAACTGCATGCATTAACTAGGGCTCTGGAACTAGCAAAAGGAAAGCGTGTTAATATTTATACAGACTCTAAGTATGCATTTCTAACAGTGCAAGTCCATGGAGCCTTATACAAAGAAAGAGGACTTATAACTTCAGGGGGAAAGGACATTAAATATGGGCCCCAGATATTGCGTCTGCTGAATAGTGTGTGGGAGCCTCAGGAAGTAGCTGTAATGCATTGCAGAGGCCATCAAAAGGGAGCCTCAGAGGTTCAAATAGGAAATAACAAGGCAGACAGGGAAGCTCGCAATGCTGCTCTAAAGGCACCCACTGAACACACGAGTTGTCTAGCCTTGTGGACCCCTAAAGAACAAGACCAGGTGAAACCAAAATATTCTCAGGAAGATTTGGACAAAGCTGAGGTGTTGGAAGCAAGGCAGGAGGATGGTTGGTGGATTTTGCCAGATCAGAGAGTCTTCATCCCAGGATACATGGCATGGGATGCAGTGCAACAGGTTCATAAGCAGCTGCACCTAGGAAAAGGAGCACTGGCAAATGCTTTGAAGAGAGAGGTTTACATTGATAAAGTGCACAGTATTGCAGCAAATGTCTGTGCTAGATGTGAGATCTGCGCTGCCAACAATCCAAGGCAAGGACCCCAACTGCCTCAAGGACATCAGCCCAGAGGAAACTATCCCTTTGATTCCTTGATGATTGATTTCACTGACATGCCCTGTTCAGGTCCATACAGAGCGATGTTAGTCATAATCTGCACATATACTGGATGGCCAGAATGCATCCCCACAAGGACAAAGAAAGCAACTGAGGTTGCAAAAGCCTTGCTACACATTATTATTCCTCGGTATGGGTTGCCATCTAGGATCTCTTCAGATAATGGCCCTGAATTCATCCATAAGGCCACCCAAAAGATAGCAGCTATGTTAGGGATCACTTGGAAGCTACATTGCAGTTTCCATGCTCAATCTGGGGGTCGGGTGGAAAGAATGAATAGGACCATTAAGGATAAATTGGCAAAGATATGTCAGGAAACACAGCTTAAATGGCCAGATGCTTTAAATATGGCTCTGATGGCAGTAAGGTGTGCCCCACAAAGGGGTTTGTTAGTATCTCCCTTTGAATTACTATATGGGAGGGTCCCCAACCTACTAAAACCAGATGTTCACCACACTGGGCAAGTGGCAGACACTGTCAAGCTTAAACAGCTGCAGGCTCTTAACATTATAGTCCAGCGGCTGCAACAATATGTTCTAGCCCAAAGACCTCATGTCCTGGTCACTCCTACTCATAATATCCAGCCAGGACAGGAGGTTTGGGTAAAGGATTGGAGACGGGAGGTTTTGAGCCCAAAATGGAAAGGGCCGTATACTGTTGTTATGTGTTCTCCCCTTGCTGTTAAGGTGGCTGAGATCAAGTCGTGGATCCATTGGTCCAGGGTTAAATTGGCCGCCCCCACCCAGTGGAAAGTGCAGAGTGTTCCAGGTCAACCCCTTAAACTCACCCTGCATCGTAGAAGAAGGAGCCTCTCCCCTTCTGGTGACACCCCGGACGCTGCACCCCTGCGAACGGGAGAGGTGAAGCAACCCCCTGCAGGTGTTACCCCGGAAGCTAACACCCATCGCACGGGCAACAAAAGGTCCCTACCTTGGAAACTGCGTTCACATCATTGATCTCAAAAGTTTTAATTAGTTATGGATCCCACCCAGAGGATGAGGGAAACTGCCTGTATTAGGAAAGGGCTTATCCCAACAATTTGGGTGGTGGTAATGTTGTTGTTAATCATTGTTATAATTAACTCTCTGTTTTTATATAGGGGGAACACAGACAAGGGGGTTGAGGGTGTATCTGAGGATTGGCTAATTGAACCCGATGATCTGAATATTAGTCAGGATATGACCCCATTCCCCACTTTTACATCTCTGGGACCTGTATCCACCTCTGTAGGACAGAGTCTTTCCATAAGGGAGGGAGATCCTAAGGGAGTAAGTGGTGATGAATATCTCTTAGGAGACCCACGCCCTTACCCTTCGGACCACGTCCCTCCTTGTGATGAATGCTTTGTAGACCTTCCTACAGGGAAACACTTTGTTTATTCTATCACACAACCTCCAAATTGTTCAGTTCTCACTCACCTGCCCTGTGACAATGAGGGGCATCGATATTGGCGTTGTGTACTTAATTCCACTGTCAGGTGCCATAGCCTACGTGTTCCATGGATACCTCCTGTACAAATCCACATGCCCCGCCATGTATCTCATCGCTCAGTAAGGGATGATTCCCAGGTAAGGCCAGTGAAAGAGCCATGTACACAATGTCTCAAACTGGATGGGAGGGTGCAAAGGAGGATGGGGAGGCCCGAAACTTGCCAGTTTGATCTGCCTCCCTGCATTCATGGCCAACGACGGATAAGAGGCCAACGACGGATGAGAATTTATAAAAGATGCAATAGCACAGAGGGGGTTCTTTGCTACCGAGAGCCTCCATCTCTCCCTATCCATCGCATCCAAAGGGCCCCAGAGGAATCAGACAACTGTCATCAATGCATAACAAAGGCAACTCAAGGTGCAACCACCATAACTACCTTAGTTTATCACACTCAAATGCCAGCAGGATGTAAACCCACAGGCAAAACTTGTCTGAATAATGGCACAATGTATACCTTGTGCACCTTGGGGGAAAAAGATGTTTGTTATCGCCCCCAGACCCCAGAAAAGTTGAACATTACCTTATATACAGGATTTGGACAATGGCGGAATGGAAGGGTGATTGGCCTATATGCTTATGTTAATCACACCACCGTCCTTAAACAAGGACAGGAAAAGGTGTTTCTGGAATTTGATGCTTGCAATGCCATAGATAAGCCAGGCAAGTATGGGAAGGTGGGATGTGGATCTGAGGCCTGGAAACAATCCTATAAGAGTAATCATAAGTATGTGTGCACTACGGACACATCCTGGATCACTGCAGCA